TAGGTAGTTACAGTCTTGTCCCATCGCTGCAACTCCCGTACGGAATCGGGAGAGGCGAAGGTTGAGAGCCATGCGTCCTCCGAAACACGACCTAGCCAAGCCGCACTGCTTCTTGACACACTGCTCGCTTAACCAGGAAGCCAGCCGCACCAATGTGTCGGAGGAAACACTGTACAACTGGCGACCTAAGTCAGAGTGCATGCGCCCGGCCGCCACAAGGAGTCGCTAGAGCGCGATGGGACAAGGACATCACAGCCGGCCAAACCCTCCCCTAATCCGGGATGACGCTAGGCCAATTGTACACCGCCTCATGGGTCTCCCGGTCGCCACCGGCTGCGACACAGCCCGGGATCGAACCCGGATCTATAGTGACGCCTCTAGCACTCTAACACGCCACTTCTATACTCATTTGGATTATTTATTTTTCTTCTGGTTGAAACATCAAAGACTTCAACAACCGAACGACTAGTCCGACTAGTCAAGTACATCAACCTACATACAAAAAGGCAAATTTATTTTTACCAGTTTGCAATTTGCAACAAGACAGTTGAATCCTTACAAAATAGATAGCAAAGCACATGTTAGGAACAGATGCAGCTGCTACAGGCTTTCGAGGTAGCAGGTGTTTAGTTTATATAAGGCTTGGCCAATAAACGTCTTCGACTCTTAGTGCTAGTTTTACTCAACATGTTCAAGAAGACAGGTTTTGGATTCAATGATTCCCTATAGTATTTATATATTTTTTTCTTTCTCGGTGCTATGGGATTTGCACCTCAACCTGTAAGTATTCAGACCCCTTTGACTTTTTCCACATTTTGTGAAGTTAAGTTCTAAAATGGATTCAATGTTTTTTCCCCCTCATCAATCTACAAACAATACCCCATAATGACAAAGCAAAAACAGGTTTTTATAAAGTTTTGCAAATGTATTAAAAATAAAAAAACGGAAATATCACATTTGCATAAGTATTCAGACCCTTTCCTCAGTACTTTGTTGAAGCACCTTTGGCAGCGACTACAGCCTCGAGTCTTCTAGGGTATGACGCTACAAGCTTGGCACATCTGTATTTGGGGAGTTTCTCCCATTCTTCTCTGCAGATCCTCTCAAGCTCTGTCAGGTTGGATGGGGAGCGTCGCTGCACAGCTATTTTCAGGTCTCTCCAGAGATGTTCAATCGGTTTCAAGTCCGGGCTCTGGCTGGGCCACTCAAGGACATTCAGAGACTTGTCCCGAAACCACTCCTGCGTTGTCAATTCAAATCAAATGTTATTAGTCACATACACGTGTTTAGCAGATGTTATTGCGGGTGTAGCGAAGTGCTTGTGCTTCTAGCTCCGACAGTGCAGTAATTTCTAACAAGTAATATCTAACAATTTCACAACATATACCCAATACACACATATCTAAGTAAGGAATGGAATTAAGAATATATACAAATATGTACGAGCAATGACAGAGCGGCATGGACTAAGATACAGTAGAATATTATAGAATACAGTTGTCTTGGCTGTGTGCTTAGGGCCGTTGTCCTGTTGGAAGGTGAACCTTCTCCCCAGTCTGAGGTCCTGAGCGCTCTGGAGCAGGTTTTCATCAATGATCTCTCTGTACTTTTCTCCGTTCATATTTACCTTGATCCTGACTAGTCTCCCAGTCCCTGCTGCTGAAAACCACCCCCACAGCATGATGCTGCCACCACCATGCTTCAAGGTAGGCATGGTACCAGGTTTCCTCCAGACGTGACACTTAGCATTCAGGCCAGAGTTCAATCTTGGTTTCATCAGACCAGATAATCTTGCTTCTCATAGTCTGAGAGTCCTTTAGGGGCCTTTTGGCAAACTCCAAGCAGGCTGTCATGTGCCTTTTACTGAGGAGTGGCTTCAGTTTGGCCACTCTACCATAAAGGCCTGATTGGTAGAGTGCTGCAGAGATGGTTGTCCTTCTGGAAGGTTCTCCCATCTCCACAGAGGAACTCTGGAGCTCTGTCAGAGTGACCATCGGGTTCTTGGTCACCTCCCTGACCAAGGCCCTTCTCCCCCGATTGCGAAATTTGGCCGGGCGGCCAGCTCTAGGAATAGTCTTGGTGGTTCCAAACTTCTTCCATTTAAGAATGATGGAGGCCACTGTGTACTTGGGGACCTTCAATGCATCAGAAATGTTTTGGTACCCTTCCCCAGATTTGTGCTTCGACACAATCCTGTCTCAGAGCTCTACGGACAATTCCTTCGCCCTCATGGCTTGGTTTTTGCTCTGACATGCACTGTCAACTGCAGGACCTTATATAGCCAGGTGTGCCTTACCAAATCATGTCCAATCAATTGAATTTACCACAGGTGGACTCCAACCAAAGTTGTACAAACATGTCAAGGATGATCAATGAAAACAGGATGCACTTGAGGTCAATTTCATGTCTCATAGCAAAGGGTGTCATGTAAATAAGGTCTTTCTGTTTTAAAAAACAAACAAAAATTGCAAAAGAAATCGAAAAACCTGTCTTCGCTTTGTCATTAAGGGATATTGTGTGTAGATTGATGAGGGAAAAATTATATTTAATACATTTTAGAATAAGGCTGTAATGTAACAAAATGTGGAAAAAGGGAAGGGGTCTGAATACTTTCCGAATGCACTGTGTATGTGTGTGTGTGTGTGTGTGTGTATATATATATATATATACACACACACAGTCCCAGTCAAAAGTTTGGACACACCTACTCATTCAAGGGTTTTTCTTTATTTTTATTAACACATATGGAATCATGTAGTAACCAAAAAAGTGTTAAACAAATAAAAATATATTTGAGATTTGAGATTCTTCAAAGTAGACACCTTTTGCCTTCATGACAGCTTTGCACACTCTTGGCAATCTCTCAACCAGCTTCATGAGGTAGTCACCTGGAATGCATTTCAATTAACAAGTGTGCCTTGTTAAAAGTTAATTTGTGGAATTTATTTCCTTCTTAATGCGTTTGAGCCAATCAGTTGTGTTGTGACAAGGTAGGGGTGGAATACAGAAGATAGCCCTATTTGGTAAAAGACCAAGTCCATATCATGGCAAGAACAGCTCAAATAAGCAAAGAGAAATGACAGTCCATCATTACTTTAAGACATGAAGGTCAGTCAATACGGAACATTTCAAGAACTTTGAAAGTTTCTTCAAGTGCAGTCGCAAAAACCATCAAGTGCTATGATGAAACTGGCTCTCATGAGGACTGCCACAGGAAAGGAAGACCCAGAGTTACCTCTGCTGCAGAGGATATGTTCCTTAGAGTTAACTGCACCTCAGATTGTAGCCCAAATAAATGCTTCACAGAGTTCAAGTAACAGACACATCTCAACATCAACTGTTCAGAGGAGACTGCGTGAATCTGGCCTTCATGGTCAAATTGCTGCAAAGAAACCACTACTAAAGGACACCAATAAGAAGAAGAGACTTGATTGGGCCAAGAAACACGAGCAATAGACATTAGACTGTGTAAATATGTCCTTTGGTCTGATGAGTCCAAATTTGAGATTTCTGGTTCCAACCGCTGTGTCTTTGTGAGACGCAGAGTAGGTGAACGGATGATCTCTGCATGTGTGGTTACCACCGTGAAGCATGGAGGAGGAGTTGTGATGGTGTGGGGGTGTTTTGCTGGTGACACCATCTGTGATTTATTTAGAATTCAAGGCACACCAGCATGGCTACCACAGCATTCTGCAGCGATACACCATCCCATCTGGTTTGGGCTTAGTGGGACTATCATTTGTTTTTCAAAAGGACAATGACCCAACACACCTCCAGGCTGTGTAAGGGCTATTTTACCAAGAAGGAGAGTGATGGAGTGCTGCATCAGATGACCTGGTCTCCACAATCACCCGACCTCAACCCAATTGAGATGGTTTGGGATGAGTCGGACCGCAGATTGAAGGAAAAGCAGCCAACAAGTGCTCAGCATATGTGCAAACTCCTTCAAGACTGTTGGAAAAGCATTCCTCATGAAGCTGGTTAAGAGAATGCCAAGAGTGTGCAAAGCTATCATCAAGGCAAACGGTGGCTACTTTGAAGAATCTAAAATGTTAAATATACTACATGATTCCTTATGTGTTATTTCATAGTTTTGATGTCTTCACTATTATTCTACAATGTAGAAAATAGTAAAGATAAAGAAAAGCAATGATGACAGCACAGGTTTCCTTGCAGGTAACCATGGTTAACAGAGGAAGAACAATGATTTCAAGCACCACCCTCCTTTTAAAGTTTCCAGTCTGTTATTCTAACTCAATCAGCATGACAGAGTGATCTCCAGCCTTGTCCTCGACAACACTCTCACCTGTGTTAACGAGAGAATCACTGACATGATGGCAGCTGGTCCTTTTGTGGCAGGGCTGAAATGCAGTGGAAATGTTTTTTTGGGATTAAGTTAATTTTCATGGCAAAGAGGGACTTTACAATTAATTGCAATTCATCTGATCACTCTTCATAACATTCTGGAGTATATGCAAATTGCCATCATAAAAACTGAGGCAGCAGACTTTGTGAAAATTAATATTTGTGTCATTCTCAAAACGTTTGACCACGGCTGTATACACACACACACACACTATTTTATAGATATCTCACTTAAAACATAAAATGTAATGAATAGTATAATTGTATATCCATCTCTCTCTTTTTGGCTATCATTCAATGGAGCGTGTGTATGAATGGTAAATGCCTGTACCCCAAAACAGAAGAGAGATGGGGAAGTTTATTTGCTCAGATCTCTTAGGTAGAGTACAGGCATAAGGTACAAGGTGTATTGGCCACAAAGTGTGTATTTATGTGTGTGTGCGCATGTGTGTGTGTGTTTGTATGTGACTGACATCCTCGTGCTCCCAGCTTCTCTACAGGATGTCTTATGCATCACTGTGTGTGTGTGTGTACGTGTGTTTGTGTGTGTATACATCCTCCTCACCCTCTTGAATACTCAAGGACATCTGCTATTATACAATATCTGCCTTTATCTCTTCTCCCTCCCTCCCTTCCTATGTCTCCTTCTTTCCCTCTCCTTGCCCTCTACTCTCTTTACAATCCGTGGGCGTGGGTGTACTGCTCTTGAGAAAGTCGGACCTCAGCAGGCGGTAGAAGAGCACTATATTCATGGCGGTCATGATGGCTAGCCCTACACTCCCCACTGTGTAGCTGAACAGGGGGATGTTGTCCCGGTTCAGAACCAGCCAGCGGGTCATCCAGGCCAGGGTGTTGATCCGGAACACCACGTAGGTACCTGGAATTATATGTAGTTCGTTATTATCAGCACTAAGAACAGATATCCTATTAAATGACATATGTATTTCTATATGTAATTCTATGGTGCTAACATTTGTATAATCTACTTACTACAGTGCTTTACGACAGTTGAAAGGTCATGTAAACAAACCACTTCATGGCACACCTCATGATGTGAAGTTAGAGATAATAAATAACTAGCACAAGCTAGCTGTCATATAAAAAATATTATTTCATAATTGAAACCTTATTAACATGACAGTACCTAGGTTGACCATACTGTTGACGCGGTAGAGGTCGCCCTCCGCTAGGTTGGCCATGCGTAAGATCTGGCGCAGGTGGAGGAACACAGAGTTTATCTCAACCAGGAGGGCCACCACAGCAAAGCCCACGTAGCGACCGGTCAGGACAGTGATGCCAAAACAGCTGATCACCTAGGAAGAAGATACTTTTTCTTAAAACTGCATTGTTGGTTAAGGGCTTGTAAGTAAGCATTTCACAGTAAGGTCTACACCTGTTGTATTCGGCGCATGTGACAAATAAAATGTGATTTGAGAGTGAGAGGGAGAATAAGAGAAAGTTAGGCATTGAGTGGCAGTGATGTAGTCAAATTCCTAAACCTAGAGTTTGACTCAAGTCCTAAGTCCCTAGCTTTCGAGTCCAAGTCTGAGTCAACTCACGAGTCCTAACATAACAAACAAACCACCAACTCATCTACCCAGAAGTCACATGGTTAACCATCATCTCATGAGGTAGTGGTGGGATGACTGGGATCTCATGACTTAGGTCATGTCCACCATATTAGCCATATCCACATATGACCATCTGACTCACAGCACAGCCTTTTTTTGTATTTATGATAAATATTGTATTATTTCCAGGAAAATATCATCCAGTTAGTCTCATAACAAGCCTTTGTTTTTCCTTTATTTGCTTGTCAGATTAATGCCTTTGAACATCAAACACTGACTAATCTTTAGATAATGACATTGAGGAAGGTCATCATGCTAATCAAACATCTGCAAGGTCATAGTTATGAAATGAAAGTCTGAAGTTACAGCATATCAGATAGTCTTTGGTAACAGGGGGTGATGTAGTAGCGTACTAGAACCAATAGGTGGCAGCCAGTGCCAGTCTACAATAGAGCCACTATAGAATGTGTACATACTGCTCTGTTACACAATAACTTCAGGGAAATCTTTTGAATCATATTTTATTAGACTGCAGCTGCCTTTACAAGTCTATATTGTGTTGTGTGTCAGAGTTAGATCATTAAATCTCACATCCAACTTAGTTACTGTAGAAGTCTGGAGGGCAGATGTATGTTTTCCCAAAATATCCCATTGAGAACAGCAATGCCCTAGTAGTACATTAACCTGACCCTGTCCACTGTTACTAACCCTAACCTTTCTCCCCACTCTGTCACTACTCTCACTTCAAACCACTACTTAGTCTGTCTCCCAAATGGCACCCTATTCCCAATGGCACCCTATTCCCAATATAGTGCACTGAGTGTGTGCATAAAAGTAGCAAACTACATAGGGAATAGGGTGCCATTTGAAATGCAGCCTTAGCCTCCCAGAACTAACTGTAGACCATGTTACATAGCAGTTACTGGCACACCAATGTAGCGATGTAAAGCACAACGTATCTTGTTAGGACACTCAAACATCCTCAATGGCTTGGTTGTGTGACTGAGCTTAACAAGTAGACAGGACCCAATGGGAGGGCTTTAAGTGTGTGGTGTGTGTGTGTGTGTGTGGCCCCGGGGGTGAGGCTGGAGTCAACAGAGGAGGTGCCGTCCCTAAACTGACAAATGGTCATGGGATAAACAGCACCACACACACACACACTGGGGTCTAGTCTAAAGGCCAGTGCACACACTGGCTAGTGGCTACCCCCTCAAGAGGAACAAAAAGACAAAGAGACGCTTACATGTAGCAACTCTGGTCCAAGCATGTCTGAATAATAACACCTATTTAGCCAGACTACAAGTAGGCCAGCACTGACGTGAGACACACCATTATGTCCTATCTTTTTCTTGCATCTTCCTCTTGTTTTCTATCTCCTGCTGCAGGCTGTGTGTGTGTGTGTGTGTGTGTGTGTGTATGTGTATAGAGGCCCTAATCCCATGCTGCTCTTAGCCAATAAGGTGTGTGTGACTCTCTCCCCAGGTAAACACCCCAGTCTCTCATACATACACACTCACACTAAACTTCAACCTGTCTTATCGTTCCTCCAGGTCACACACACACATCTCCTCTGGGACACTTATAACAGGAACTGTGGAGGTCAAATAAAAGCCTTATAAAATGCTCTGATAAGAGACCTCATGGCCAGGATTCTGTTTACATGGTTATCTATCACCTAGCAGCTCTCTCTGTGACGTCTTGTATGAGTGCTTGTATGGTCTCTCAACGTTGATCCTTGGGACGCACTGTGTAGTCTGGTTCTCACTTCAGCTGGACATCAAGACAGACACTTACTTACTGTACGTATTAAGAATAACAGCTTAGTTAATTAGAACACACATTTTTGAATCACCTATTTCAGAAATACTGCTAGATATTCAGACCCTATTTTGTTTACTTTTCTGTGATACTTCAAATAGTAGAATTTGACCATGGATTATTGGCTGAAATAAAAAGCCTGTATACATCATGATTCCTGGTGAACCTGGGACAATTGACTTAGCAGACTCATTAGAGATCCTAGTGTGTGTTTATGTCTGTATGGCCATGGCCTCCTTTATGATGTTTGAGGAGCGTCGTTAGTGAGAGGTATCTTCAGTAGAGACACTGATTGTAGTTTCCTCCCTGTCCTTGGGAAGGGAGGGGGTAATCAGAGCCATGTATATAATGACTGACTGTAATCATTGATACAAGTGGGTGAGAAGGCACTCAATAATCCCTTACACAAGCTACATACTATACCACCTAATACAAGCTCCACACTACCTACTACTATAAACACGTGACATGATGAACTGTGCATCTCTTATACAGCAGCTGGTGATTTAATACAGCCGGTGGTTACAAAACCTTTATGCCCTACTTTGACCCAGCGAAGCAGTCAGGCCATCATCAGGAGATGGTAGCCCCAAATCCCCACTGACCCATCTGAACTCATCCAGAGAGAGACAGGGGGTTATCACTTGGCCCGAGCTCAGGCACGTGGCTCTTTTTGTGAGGTATGATTAGGACCAGAGACCATAGCTCTGGCTGGGTCCTGGCTGGATCCTGTCATTCAACCAAATAAAATAAATTCAAACCATGAGAGGGGATGAATCCCTAAACTGTGCCCGACAGTGAGCCTCCCTGGATGGGGTTGAAGCTACTGTAATCCCCCCTCCCCTGGGTCAACAGACAGATAAGACAGCCCTGGACCATTAGAATGATTCAGCATTAGCAGGCTATCCCCTGCTAAGCCAGGGTAACGCTGGGCTGGTCAGCTAGCTGCTGGTAGCCTATTAACAGTGCTACAGACAGACAGACAAATAGTGGATACACACAGGGCCAGGGGGATGAGACAGCTGGCAGGGGACCCAGTCTAACTGCATGGATGGGAAAGTGGGCACAATGATGGAGAGGTTAGCCTTGCTCTTACAGTATGTGCTGCTGTGTCGTGTTCAGTAGGATACAACATAGCAAAACATTTTGAAAAGGAAAGCAAAAATCAGCAGTAGAACCCTCGTTTCAAAGCGTTCTCTCATTTTGTGTATATTGAACAGATTGGGGGTAAAGGAGAAAGGGTGAAAACAGCGTGTGTTGCGTGTGTGTTTCCTTAACCACAGAAATGAATGGCAGATAAGGGAAAGACAGATTCAAGATGGCCGATGTTGTTAAGGATGACCCAAGGTGGCACACAGCAGTGGCAGAGCGACAATTGCAAAAGTGGCCTATATACTCAATATGTAGGAATAACAAATAATTGACTATGGTGTAGATAAGCATTTAGAAGCAACTTCATTTGTAAGATTTGCCAAGTCATGGCCAAGATGGCAGACAAAGATAAGGCAGCAGAGAAACCAAAATGCCAGCCAGGTGGGAATGTTACAAAGTCAATCCATCTTTAGAGCATTGACCTCTCTCTAAGCCCCGAGGGGTAGAGATGCACCTCAAACCAAACCCGTTCCCTTGGTTTCAGATGACAAAAAAAAGGCTTCCGGAGTGAATCTTGGTAGCCTGAGCACACACACACACACACACGCTACCATATAGAAGGCAGAGACAGTACAGGTACATCAAAGCTGGGACAGAGATACTGATAAACAGCTTCTATCTCCAGGCCATCAGACTGTTAAACAGTCATCACTAGCCGGCCTCCGCCCAGTACCCTGCCCTGAACCTTAGACACTGTTACTAGCTGGTTAACACCCGGTTACTCAACCCTGCACCTTACAGACTGCTGCCCTATGTACAGTCGTGGTCAAAAGTTTTGAGAATGACACAAATACCAATTTTCACAAAGTCTGCTGCCTCAGTTTTGATGATGGCAATTTGCATATACTGCAGAATGTCATGAAGAGTGATCAGATTAATTGCAATTAATTGTAAAGTCCCTCTTCGCCATGAAAATTAACTTAATCCCAAAAAAACATTTCCACTGCATTTCAGCCCTGCCACAAAAGGACCAGCTGCCATCATGTCAGTGATTCTATCGTTAACACAGGTGTGAGTGTTGACGAGGACAAGGCTGGAGATCACTCTGTCATGCTGATTGAGTTAGAATAACAGACTGGAAGCTTTAAAAGGAGGGTGGTGCTTGAAATCATTGTTCTTCCTCTGTTAACTATGGTTACCTGCAAGGAAACCTGTGCTGTCATCATTGCTTTGCACAAAAAGACCTTCACAGGCAAGGATATTGCTGCTAGTAAGATTGCACCTAAATCACCCATTTATCGGATCATCAAGAACTTCAAGGAGAGAGGTTCAATTGTTGTGAAGAAGGCGTCAGGGCGCCCAAGAAAGTCCAGCAAGCGCCAGGACCATCTCCTAAAGTTGATTCAGCTGCGGGATCGGGGCACCACCAGTGCAGAGCTTGCTCAGGAATGGCAGCAGGCAGGTGTGAATGCATCTGCACGCACACTGAGGTGTAGACTTTTGGAGGATGGCCTGGTGTCAAGAAGAGCAGCAAAGAAGCCACTTCTCTCCAGGAAAAACATCAGGGACAGACTGATATTCTGCAAAAGCTACAGGAATTGGACTGCTGAGGACTGGGATAAAGTCATTTTCTCTGATGAATCCCCTTTCTGATTGTTTGGGGCATCCGGAAAACACCTTGTCCGGAGAAGACAAGGTGAGCACTACCATCAGTCCTG